TGTATCCTGTGGTTTTAGCCTTTTCACATAGAGCAGTATCTCATTTGTGTGGTTTTGCTCAAGTGTGGGTGTCATAGACACCACACTCTTTTTCTGCACAGGAAACTAAAGGAATGCTCTGGTGGGACTTTAGGTGTCAAGCAGCATTGCCCCAGGTAGTGTGGTTGTTTGGAGAGCATGCAGGAGGCAGGGGCAGTCTTCAGAATGTGTGTGGTCCTTGTGCCTTTCCCCACAGTACATTTGCTAATAATGTGTCCTGGCCAAACATTCTGAGAAATGCTGGGCCACAGAGATGCAGCAGCTAGCATTCCTTTTGTGTGTGTATGGGGCCACGGAAACAGTTTTAAGAGGACAGACATGTGTGCACATACCCAGCTGAAGGAAACAAACAGTAGGTTTCTATTATGTCACGTATTGTATTGTCTGTGCTTTGAGGAGTTACTCCTTGTGTAGCTCTTAGATGCTCAAGTTAAAATGCCACATGGAAGTAATTTGCTAGCTGTGATTCACATATTTATATGATTAAATAAAGCCTTTAATGTGTGAAAAACTAGAAATCACAGAATTCAAGATGAGGGGAGAGGGACTTCATGAACCATTATAGGACAAGCGGATGGAAAGCACAGCCCATAGAACCTCCTCTGACAGCTGGAGCCTGCTTGTAATGCGAATCCACGTGTGTTCTGTGGAGCTGTAAGATTTTGTCCTTGTGTACAGTGATCACAGGGCTTGGCATTCTGCTTTTTCCTTAACCTGGGGCCTTTGATTCATGCAGAGCTGCCCTTTGGCACATCACCTGAGCCTTGGAGAATGGAGAGGACAATTTCTTACAGTCAGCCACATGTCAGAAAGAACTGATGTGCCATCTGTCCCTTTCTCTTCTTGGGTTACAGTTGTCACAACTGGGAGCCCTGCTTCAGAGCTGTGTGTAATGACTCCAGTAGATGAGAGAACCTCTTTCTCTGCTATTTCATTCCAAGAGTGACTCCATAATGACTCAAAGCATGGGCGTTAGGATCTCTGGTCTTGATTCTCTTTACAAACTAGGACTCCATCAGGCTCACCCTTTTGAGCCTATGAAACATAAAGACAACTCCATTATCTTGTTACATATGGGAGTAGATATCATTATATGAAATCATACCTTCATTCTGGAAGTATGGGTCTTGACTGATACTAAGAGTTAAAAACAAGATTTTGTGGACATATCCAAGCATAATCAAAAGTATGGAAGACATGTGAAGGACTTCCTTTGACCGCTCCAACTTAGCTGTTGCCCAGTGCTTGTGCAGTCTTGTACCCACGTCTCCCTTATACACACTGGCCTTCTGTTGCTTTTAAGGCCAAGGACTTATGGAGGAGATCTTAAAGAACAGAGTGATTCTCTACTAAGCTTGCGTTCCTATTAGAACTGGCTGTGGAGATGGAGCTGTAAACAGAGTGTCGTAACTTAAATTGTGTAATGAGACCTGGTCTCCACTTTGCTTACCACTCACTGGTGGCTTTGGGCAAGTTCTCCAGATGCTAAGATTCCTCTTACGTTTTATAAAAAAAAAAGAGAGCTGGGCGGTGGTGGCACACGCCTTTAATCCCAACACTCGGGAGGAAGAGCCAAGTGGATCTCTGTGAGTTCGAGGCCAGCCTGGTCTACAGAGCGAGATCCAGGAAAGGTACTAAAACTACACAGAGAAACCCTGTCTTGAAAAACCCAAACAGATAAATAAATAGGAAGATGGCAGGGCTGTGGGGGATGGGGGTGGGGAGGTGTTTTACACGTCAGGCTGTGGTCAGAAACATGGGTAGCCACAGCCCAGCAACAAGGAAAGAAAGGCAGTATGGGAGTCTTGTATTGAGAGCACATGGGCCCTTTGACACCTTGTTACCTTAGCACGTTGTTTCTCAGAAGGACAGATGTGTGTTACTCGTGGATATGTGTAATTCAGAACACCTGATGCTGCTTAAAAGGACAGAACCATATGGAGACAGAGCCCCATGAAGCACCTGCTGTATCCATCCCCTGCTTATTTGAGGATCTCTCTGCTGTTTTTCAGGTGCCGACTTATTAAAGCTGACAAAGGAGGATTTAGTTCAGATTTGTGGTGCAGCCGATGGAATTCGGCTCTATAATTCCCTGAAGTCAAGGTAAAATACTATAGACTGTTCTGTGAGAAATGAGAATGGACCTTTCTCTGCGTGGGGGATTTGGTGGGCAGAATGTGTTTCCACGCTAGGTTGGCGTGTGCCTGTGTGCGCCACCGAGTATCGGCAACATCGTGCTCACGAGAAGACTGTTTTGTGTACACCTTCAGGGCAGGCACTGATGAGGGCAGAGGTAGACTAAGACTGGTAGCAATGCACATGGGCAGGACTGATTTCTTGAAGACGACTGGGTTTGTTGCCAAGAAAACAAAACTTCTAATTTAGGTGAGCTCTACAGAATCTATGGTTTTCAAGGTCATGATTATTGTTAAGCAGTTATTAAATGTGAACTTGTAACTGTCAATTAGAATGCTCCAACTGTGGCTGTGCTGGCTTTGAGACCTAATGCCTGCCATTCCTGTCTCTAGACTTGTGTGGTGAGAGTTTAGTAACTCGAGCCTTACTCATTGCAGATTGTTTAATCAATCTTGAAACTTAAATTTACCAGCATCTGACAGACCATCTCAATGGTTTAGAGTCTGGACCTGTGGTAGTTGTTGTGAGGTGTGTGGTTTTATATTTTTATTAGAGAATTATCTTGCATAATGAAAAAACACTGTAAAGTTCTCATAAGGAAAAATAGACCTTAGATTCCTGTAGCTGTTGATTGTACATGTGCTGAGGCCACTTGCTCTCCTAGTCTCATTGATGGCATCTTCTGATTTACAGGTCAGTTAGACCCCGCTTAACCATCTATGTCTGCCAGGAGCAGCCGAATAGCACTGTGCTGCAAGAGCAGCCACAAGCTGCAGGCAGTGGAGGCGAGAATGGCAGTGGGACACCCTGCGGTGGGTATTGAGGGCACTTGAGGTCTCCTGTCCTTCCTAAGGCTGTCAGAAATGAACCGGTGGAGGATTGTGGAGTTCCCGCTACAGAGTTGACAGAGGCAGCTGTAGGGCCATGTCCTTGGGGAACGAAGAAACTAGAACCTTCCTTAGTTCTCTGCTGTGCATGCCGTAGATCTCTTTTTTTATATAGCTCTATGCATGAAATACCAGGAAGCAATACAATAACTTGAACATGTTGAGACCTCTCCAAATGAATGTGACATTGCCAGCTTGCTGGGGAAGAAACAAGAGGTTTCTCTTTCTTCCCCCATTTCACTGACTAGATGGGGAGGGGAGCCTTATCACACATGAGCAAATGGGAGTCTGTGTAGCGGTCTTCCGGTGTAGACCCATCTGGGGGAGCATCTGTTGTGTTGCATGCAGGTCGGAAGGTGGGTGCTGTGTCCTTGGTCAGTGTTAGCACAGTTGCAGTCGCTTACCTTGTGAGTAAAGAGGGCTTCTGTCCTGCAGATTTATTCAGTTGGACAATATGGAAAAGTCTGGCCTCTCCTGTCTCTTTCCCCCCTCCTTTGAATATAAAGATTTTGGGAAAGGGAGAGGCTAGACAAGGTCTTACTAAGTAGTCTAAGCTGACCTCAGAACTGCCATTTCCCTGCCTCATCCTCCAAAGTACTGGGATTATAGATGTGCATCACCACGCCTTCCTCTCACTTATATGGTGGTAGTAATGTCCCCTATTCTCACATTCTGAAACAGAATGAAGGTGACACTCAGCTTCAGAGAAACATGTATTTTGGAATTCAGAGAGGCAGTTACTTACCCTGATAGTGGGTAGAGCTCTGAAAAATACTGTGTGGCATGGATTTCTTTAAACAATTGGAAGAGTTGTAAATCACAGCTGTGAGCCTTTCCGTTTATGTCCTTTAACTCCAGGTGTGAGCTGTGACTTTTAAGATGGAGGACACAAATTCTTACAGGAGTCCTCTGTATCACTCATCGTATCCATCATCCCATGCTTGCCGGAGTCTAGTGTTACAGAATATGTGTCCTCAGAGATGAGTGCTGGCAGGGGTGAGGGGAAGCTGAAGACACTGGACACCTTTATCCTTGACCATTCACATTTAGTGCACTTCAACCACAGGGGCTTTTCTGCACTGAACTCGGCCATCACAGCGTGTGAACAATGACTTTTACCCTGTTCCCATAAACAGAAAATTGCTTCCACTTAATTAAAAGAGCCAGAGGGCAGGAACTGGTCATTGATATGGTAATCCTTCAGAGTTACCTTTAGTTTTGAGTTTTAATCCAAAGCTTTTCCAAGTGCGTAATTAGTGAACATTCCTGTACACATAGCTGCTCATTTGGAAGCCAACTTTTCAGTTTCCTTATTGCAGATCCATGTCTGGCTTGAGTCAGTGGTTGAGCAATAACCCCTTGAGTGACACTCACACTGTTGAGTTTAAGTCATGGACATAAATAACAGAACAGGGGATGTTGAACTGAGGCTGGGACTTTCTCTAAAACAGAACCAGACTTCGTTGTCTGTATCCTTCCTTCTCATGTGGTGGTGTCTCCATTTCTTTTGATTTGGTGTATATATAGGAGGTGACACAGGGGATTGTTGCTCTTAAATCCTCAGTTGGAGAATTACTGGTTCAAACTCCTTTTAGAGCTCTTTTTAATGCTCTCCCATTGTGTCTACAACACAATGACATCTTAGCTCATGCACAGTTTTATCATCCTTTGCCCCAATCCATTGTAAGTTCCATTACTCTGATCCCTAATGCTCCCCCCC